AAAGTCATGAGATCACGCGGATTGGTGCGATGGACCTATGATTTTTCTCTAAACTCATGTTTTGAAAATGTACTCCTGAAAAGAAAAAAATGTGTTGAAAATAGGTATTTTGACTCTTGAATATGTATCAAGTCAACTCTGAATTTTTAATTATATTATATATATTTTTGTGAAGAACAAAGTCCAAGTTCTAAGTTCAAATGAACTTGAAAAAATCCTAAGCCATCAGATAAAAATAGGAGAAAAAAGTGATTTTAGTTTACTCCCTCTCTATTGTCCGGTGCTTTTGCCGGCATCGTGAGAGGAAGAGGGTTGTAAACTGCTAGTTTCTACGCTTGACAAGAAGTCTAAAAGATATCCTGGAGTTTTTGGTCAGAAGACGATACGATGTTATTCGCCGTCTGGATTTTATGTGTTATTGTGATTCTATTGATTGGGTTTAGTTTTTTTTTTTTGGGTGGTTTTCAGTTGAAATTTTTTCTCTCGTAGATTTATGTTTCATTTCTAGTTAATTTTGACTATATATTTGATTTAAGTTTTGCAATTCAAATTTGTTCAACGGCAGCTTCACTTAAGCTAACTCGGAACAAAATTGACAAAAGTAATCAAAGAAAGAGATTTATCTAAGTTAAGAGAATTGTTATCATGTTATCGGAATAGATTTTGGAAGTCCAGCTGCAATTGTGGATTCGGAAACATATAATTGTCTACTTTCGATTCGAAACAAGATCATCTTAGTATCGCTAATGTGTCGTTAACGATTATTATCCTCACTTAATTTCTGGTGCGGAAATGACTATTAGTATCTCTTTATATTTCATATGTTGAACTTCTTCAGTGATGTAATATATTTTAAATCAGTTTCAATAAAATAAATTGTTAAAAATAAAAAAAGTTCAAATGAAGTTGACGTAAACAATCCAATCAATGTTGAATAAGTTCGGTTTGAATGGCAAAATTTAAGGTCCCATATATCAGGGATAATTACACTAAAAAATGTACTTTCTATGAAACCCTTTACAATATAGGGTTAATTAGATCAATATTACTTTTGGAACCTATAATTATGGAATTAACACATCCAAATTTATAATTAGGTAACTAGGAGAGATAATTAAAAATAAGATGAAATTGCTCTTCCAACTATAATTAAGGTAA